AGGGATTGCAGCCTATACTAGGGGCTTCCTGAAGGGGTGAGGGTCCATACAGGGAAGGGTTCTCTTGGCTGTCAATCAGGTTCCTGTTCAGTTGCCATGGCAGCACAGGCCCAGCTACCCCACTGACCGCCAGAGTGGGGGAAAGGCACACACCCTCTCCTCTGCCCAGAGGCCTCACCTCCCACCCACCCCATGCACCTTCCCAGAGATCCTGGGTCACTGTCTCCCCAGGGATGTGCGTGGGGGCTCCTAGCGTGCTCATCCCTCCCAAATTCTGGCTCCCCATGCCCCTCCTCTCCTCTGCCCTTCCCCAGGCAGCTGGCTCAATCAGCGCTCAGAATAGCCCCCCTCTGCCCCAAAATAACCCACAGCTGTGGCCTGGCCCCGGTGGGGTTAACACTTGTTCTCCCTTCCTGGTGGCTGCTTAACCTCAGCCCCTCCTCTGCTCTCTCAGACCCACCCCTGCCTGGCCTTTGCTTTTGGGGACCTCAGGGTCCTGCTCCCTGCTGAGGCCCAGGAGGGCAGCTCCATGCCCATCAGTCTGGGGAGGTTAAATGCTGGGTCTTCCCCCCAAAGGAACTCAGAGGGCAGCCCCTACCTCTCGGGTACTGAGACACAGCACCCCCAGCCTCCAGGGGTCTCTGGAGGCCCAATGCCCAGAACCTGCACCCTTAAGGACCACATTGTCCAGGCCCCCAATCTCTACCTCCTCCTGAGTCTCAGGCCCCATAGGGCTGAGGAGTCCCTGCCCCCTGCCCTGTCAGACTCAGCAGACTGCACCCCAACCCCCTCTTCCCTCAGACACAGATGCCCTGCCCTCCAACTTCTCCCATAGACTCAGAAGTCCTGGCTTTCCACCTCTCCTCTTCCAGGACCCAGGAGTCCTGGCCCGCTTCTGCCTCTAGACTCAGGAATCCGGGTACCCAGCCTCCCCTATGCTCAGGAACTGGAGTCCAGGCCTATAGCCTTCTCCTCCCTTAAGGACCCCGTTTTGTCTCAAACCCCATTAGTCCCAACATCCTAGGCAGCTCCCCAGCTCTGGCCTCCCCAGTCGCCTGATTCTGGTCCCATACACAGCATAGCCTATCCCCCCTGCTGAGGAAGAGGAGGGTACCAGAGATTCCTGGGGTGTCCCTGTGTCCATCACTCTCCCCCAATCCATCACAGAAGAGATGAGAGGCCACTTTGATCAACAGCCCGCCCCCCCTCTTTTCGTGCTGCAGACGGTGGCGTCCCGTTCCCCCCCACCTCCAACATCATTCTCTCCCCACCCTAGTCCTGGTGCTTGGAAGAGGCTGGAAGGGTGTTCCAGAACCTTGAGGAAGGGGTGGTCGCTTGGGACAATGGGTGTCAGGGGCCTGGATGCCCTCAAGGTCCTTGGCAGGGGTATTAATAGCAGACTCATAGCTCTGAGAAGGGAGGGGAGAGTGAGAGGAGAGAGGAGAGGGACAGCCAGCGAGGGGGAGACTGATGCGGGCAGGGGGTGCAGAGGGAAGGTGAGATGGAGAGATGGGGGGATAGATATATGGGATGTCAGGTATATGGAGCTAGGGAGAGGGAGCAAAGTATCAGAGAAATGGGGGCGTTAGGTCTGAGGTGTAAAGACCCAGGAAAAAGGGGCTAAGAGAAGGGGTGGAGGAGAGTCCCCACGAGACAAGGGAGCTGGGGGTGGGGGTGGGGCAAAGACCCTTGCTCTCATTCAACCCTTCTTCCCTGAGGCAGGACGCCAACTTTCCCTGTCCTAAATCTGGGGGTCCACAACCCTACCTCAACCCCTGCATCCCCTACCCCGGCCTTACCTTTTCATGACCCTGTCCTGTGGGGGTGATTGCGGGGGGCTAGGACCGGAACCCGGAGTCCAGAGACCCGAAGATTGGCGGAGGGCTCAGGGAGCCGCTGGTGGGGGCCAGGCCCTGGGGCGGCGGCGGCGGCGGCGGTGGAGCCCTCCTGCCTGTCCCTGGCTCCGGCTCTTCCTCTTCTTCGGTCTGTCCTGCCCTGTCTGTCCCCCAAGGTTGCGGCCACCCCGACTAGGCGAGGACGCCGCTACACATGTTGCGCTGGAAGTTGGGCCCCGGACATTGCGGAGGCTGTCGGGGTGTCCTCTCACCGCCCCGACCCCGTGGGGATCCCCCCTCCGCCCACCCGGGGTGCCCCCCTCTGCCACTTCAGCCCCGGCTCCTCCCCCCGTCCATGTGTCGGGTCCCGCCTCTCCCTGGCTCATTCGCACCCTCCCTTTGTGCCCTCAGCGACCCCCCACCCCCACCCCGCGACTGTGTCTGTCTGTCTGTCTGGGTCACCTCTGAAGCCGGTGGCTGATGTGTGTGTGTGTGTGTGTGTGTGTGTGTGTGTGTGTGGCAGGAGACTGCCTGTCTGGGGAACTGCTTGCCCCTTCCTCGCCTGGCCACCTCCAGACCCCTCCCTGGGCGCCCCCACTCTCAAACACAGGCAGAAACACACACATACACACGCACACACGCACAACCTCACTTCCTTGGGA